TTCATGTATCTCCTTTCGTCAGTCACCTGTTATAGGGAAAATACAAGGCAAGTGCTCCAGAAACATTCCGGTGTATCTCAACTCAATTTATTTTCTCTTTTCTTTCCAGCTATTGTAATACTCATTCTGGTTCTTATTTTCTTTCTCATTCTGAAAACATTACTTGCCCAGTCCAAGTCATTGATTTTTTTTTTTTTTGAAACTTCATAGTTTCGGTTCAAACTCCTCACTTTCATAAAGTTTTCGTAGATCTTGCCTTTCATAAAATCCAAACTGGGACAGTTTCTGGGAAAAGAGAGTGAACACCAGGATACTTTCTGGAAAACGACACAGTGGACATTGGGGATGTTTCTGGAAAAAATGACACAGTGAAGCTTTTCAGGGCTGTGAAAGCCCCTCTTAAAACATATCCAATCTTTCAGAGATATTTCAGTATTTATCAACAGTGTTCATTTAAATGCAAAATACATTGAAAACAATTGTTTCTTTTAATGCATTGGTTCTGACACAAAAAGTTAAGTTTGGCACAGCTGAGGATTGGCATGAAGGCTAGTGCGGTGAGAGCTTCCTTGGTAAGGGGGGGGATCTATGTTTATTTAAGGAAAATATTTGTCAACATGTCTTATTTCTGTGCTTACTGTATAAAATTTCAAACACTGATAGAAAAATCAATTTTAACATTCCAAGAAACTCTCAATTACTCAGTAAGCACTCGGTGAGCACCACTGTATACCAGGCTCGGATTGTGTGCGTGTGGGGGGGGCACTGCAGGAGATGCAAAGGAAAGGCCGCCTGGAGAGCAAGAAACAGACAGCGGCATGGAACTGCAACAGATTTGAATTACCCGCCGGAGTCTGTACAAGCGAGTGGGAAAGACGGCAAAGCTTTCCCTGGGCAATGTACAGAGTTTGCAAAACAGACAGACAAGAGGGTTACGCGTTTCTGCCTCAGAGAAATAAACGATTCATGTTGCCAGGAGGAAGACAAGTGGATAGTAATGCCAGAAATGAGGTTAATTTTCTTCAAATTAAAAATAAATAAATAAATAAATAGGAATTTAATGTTTATGAAAAACATTTGTCATGCACTGTGGAAACTGAGCCAATTATTCGTTTATTCATAATTTCGTGTGCCTGGTACCAGCAGAGGATAAAGCAAGAGACACCAGGGTTCTGCCTGCAGTCGTATAGTGAGCTGGGGAGCCTCTTCCCTCCAGGCAGGTGCGCATGTGTATAGATAGTTCCTCCTACCTTCCTGACATCATCTGAATGAAGGCAGAGGACAGAAGTTAAGTGCCTCCCTCCATGGATGCCAAAGCAGGATGGCCAATTAGCAGTCTGAAAGAAAGCATTTTAAGATGCTCTTTGGCCTTTGGAAAGCTGCCACCTGGGACAAAGGCATTGACTTCATTGTGACCACAATTGATCGAAATGGCCTCTCATCTTTTAATTCATTGGTTGATTAGAGCATAATGCCAATAAAATGAAGGGCATGGGGCTTAAGCTTTCTGAAGATCAATTTTGTGGGTGCATGTTTTATCCTTGGGTATAATACCTTTCCCCTAAAGCCCAAGTTTTTAAAAAATCAAGCAAAAATGTTTTGGGTTCATTTTCCCCCTAATTTTCTCTCCATTTGCCTTTTGTCCTGCAATGCAAAGAACACACACACACACACACACACACACACACACACACACGGCTTTGTTTTAAAAATAAAGTAGCTGGAATGTAAGATTATCCAGAGGTTTAAGACTATCTGTTAAGCTAGAAAGAGAATGAAACAGCAGAGGTGTTGTTGCCATTGCATACGTGAAGCTATACCAATGAAAGAAATGGATGGTGAGCTGGTGGAGCACATTCTAAAACTGACCCACAAACAGGGCAAAACACTCAACTCCCTGAAAACCTGGATACTGCTGTTCATACTCTTTCAAGTTATAGTATCCGGCCTCCCTGACTATTGTTTCTCTTAGAAACTAGAAAAAGTGATTAGCAGAAAAACTGTTCTGGACCTTGTTCTGACCAGCAGCAGCATTATCAGCTCCTTTCCCCGTATTCCCACAGAGCCCTTTTTTTATTTTATGTCAGAATTACTTTTTACACCTCACACTTATTGTACACCCCTCCTGACTCTCTTTGCAACCTTGATGCTTCACCTCCTTCCTTACAGGTCCCACAGTGGGAGGCAGAAGGGGCAAAGACTGCACTGCCCAGGAGAGAACAGGGTCTGACCCAGCTCTGGGAGGGGGCCAGGTCCTTGCCTGGGAGAGGTGAGACCACACAGAGGTCTCAGAGGCCAGAAGGCAAGGCTGGCAGCTGCGATAGGACAGAGGAGGGCAGGACTAGTCAGAAAGGGGCTGCCCTTGCTGTCTTTTAGGACTTGGTTGTGATATTCAGTGTTTGGGCTGTAGTTCAACTGCCTAAGTGGTCAAGTTGGTGAAGAGCTGGGCTCTGTCTGGAGACAAAATCCCACTTGACCCAGTGATCCCACTTCTAGGAATATATCCTAAGAAAGCCAAAACACCAATCGGAAAAAAATATATGAAGTCCTATTTTCAAAGCAGCACAATTTACAATAGCTAAGATCTGGAAACAGTCCAAGTGCCAATCAGCAGATGAGAGGATAAAAAAAATCCTGTGGTACATTTACACCATAGAATACTATCCTGCTGTAAAAAGGAACTATTACCCTCTGCAACAGCATGGATGGACCTGGAGAGTATTATATGCAAAATACATCAGAGGAAGATAAGTATCACATGATTTCACTCATATGTGGAATCCAATGAACAAAATAAGCTGAAGAACAAAATAGATCCAGATACGTAGAACCATGAAACAGACTGATGAATTTCACAGGGAAGGTGGGGGTTGGGGTTGGGAGGGGAGAGATTAGATGCATAGCCCATGGACACAGACAATGGTATGGTGAACGCTGAGGAGGGGTGAATGTGGAGAGGAGGGGGTCAATGGGAAAAAAATACATGCAAACAAAAGAAAGTAAAAAAAGAAAAAGGAAAAAACATAAAAAAGTTATATGCTCATTTGGGCACAATTAGATACATATAACTGATGTAGCATATTGAAAAAAAGGATTGCCTGTTCCTTTCTCTGTTTTTGAGCTTGATTTTTCCCTTGACAGTTTTACATTAAACATCTTATCTTTGTGTCTGTATTTACCTTGCTGAAAGAGATTATACTAAGAAAATATATATTCTATTGGTATTATTTCTTAAGTAACTATTAATACAATTTTTACAAATAGATATAATTAACTCTTACTCTGGCTACTTTCTTTGAAAGTTTCTCTCCTTTCCTTCCTGAGTTTTTTGTAATCTCTGACTAACTTGTAAACATCTCTTTAGAATTGATGAAGTTTCCCCCATTTGGGTCCCAGTCGGCTCAGCAGCAAAGACTATGATGTTTAGGAGCCGAGTATCACCGCAGTAAGATAAAAATGAACAAACAAAAGTGTTCTAGAGGGAGAAGCTCACAGGCCAATCCCCCTAAAGATTCCCTTGACACAAAGCTGAGACTTTGGGAACTATTAAAGGAAAATGATTACTAGAATAACATACATGTGATTAAAACACTCAATGTACTGAAGGCAGGGATTTTTCTTGGATTAGTATGGAATAGAGTATGCCAGAGGCTCCCCAGTGTCCTCAAGCCTGCCTGCTCCCTCTTTGCCTCCATAAAGGGCAGAATTTACCCCAACATATTACCCCACCCTTTGTACCTCTGTAGACATTCTTTCATCCAGAGAAGTCTTTTGTGTCATCTGGAAATGGGTATTCAAAATGTAAACATACCTTGCAGCCTTACTGCAGGTCCAAATTTTTTCGTCCTTAGCAAGAAGTGCCAGTGGAAGGGCCAATAATCTTTAATCTTTACAGTGAGGCTCCTACCAGCTGGCTGTTCCTCAGTCTCACTGAGCAACCACGTACCTAGAAACGTAGACCTCAGCCCGCCCTGGTCCTACCTTATCTGCCCCAAAAGCTGCGTGAGGACAGAACATGACTGTTTTTTAAGACATTTCATGAATCACTTTGATTAAGTAGTTGGCCATGTTTTGTTACCACAAACTCTCCTAATCCAGTGAACAAACATTTATTAAATACTTGCTTTGTTGCCACTCACTGTGCTAGACTCAGGGAACACTATAGTCATGCTCCTCCTTCCTGGGAAAGACAGACAGTAAACAAAAATCAGCCCCACTGTGGTTGGTGCTATGAAGATGACAAACGTGATGGCCTGAGTGAGGTAGGTAGGAATGGATGGATCAGGGATATCCAAACTGAGAACTAAGCAGGTGATATTTGAACTGAGAACTGGAGCATGAGAATAAGTCAGACTTTTCTTTTTTGCCTGTATGTGTATGTGTGTGTGTGTGTGTGTGTGTGTGTGTGTTTGTGTGCGCACGCATGTGCGCACCTACATAGATTTTTATTTCTAGTAAAATAAATATCAAGGCGAGACCGGTTTGGCTCAGTGGATAGAGCGTCAGCTTGGGGACTGAAGGGTCCTGGGTTCGATTCTGGTCAAGGGCATGTACCTTGGTTGTGGGCTTATCCCCAGTATGGGATGTGCAAGAGGCAGCTGATCGATGACTCTCTCTCATCGATGTTTCTAACTATCTCTCTCCCTTCCTCTCTGTACAAAATCAATAAAAATATATTTTAAATAAATAAATAAATAAATAAATTGAACATAATATCCCAAATAAAAGTGTGTGTCTTTTTGTTTTTCACAGAGTTTAAGGGTCATGAGACCAAAAAGTGAGAAAAACCACTGTGGTTCATCCCCAGCCGGGATTGGTCCATTTGTTGCTCTGACCTCATAAAGTGCCAGTGTGATGGAATTGAAACCACTCCTATACATAAGGCCCTGACTGGGCTGAGGATTTAGTCCGTATAGTGCAGGGAGCTCGTCTAGGTGACCTGAGACTAACTAGGACAATTCTACAGTTTAATTTTTATTTTTAACTCTTTTGCTTTAATCATGCCCCATTTCCCTGTCCCGATTACCGTCAAGGGGCAGTGCATAGGAGACTATGTGTTAGGGAAATCTATCGGCAAGGGCGGCTGCTCGAAGGTGAGGCTGGCGAGGCATGTGCTGACGGGCACGAAGGTGGTAGTAAAGAGCATAGTCAGGCGCGGTGTTGGTGTCTCCAAATCCTGCCGAGAGCTGCGATGTTTAAGAACCCTACAGCACCGAAATATATCGCGGTTGCTGGAGATAGTGGTGAACCCCGAAGAGGTACATCTGGTGATGGAGTACGTGCGCGGCGGGGACCTGAAAGCGCACCTGGACCGGCGCCGCCGCCTCACGGAGCGCGAGGCACGGACAGTGTTCCGGCAGGTGGTCTTGGCCCTCCACCTGTGCCACCGGCGGGGCTTCGCGCACCTGGACATCAAGCCGGACAACATCCTCTTAGAAGAAGACCTCACCGCCAAGCTGGCGGACTTCGGCCTCAGCCACGAGGCCACCGAGCTGCTCACCCGCTGGTGCGGAACACTGTACTACATGGCGCCCGAGGTGCTGCGGGGCGGGCCGTATGATGGCCGCAAAGCGGATGTCTGGGGGCTGGGCGCCTCCCTCTACAAGGCGGTGACGGGGCGCGTGCCCTTCCCGGGCGACAGCGACGACAAGATAACGCAGCGCATATTGGAGGGGCACTACAAGCCGCCCTACTACATGTCGGAGGCGGGCAGGAGCTTCCTCCAGCGGCTCCTGACGGTCGACCCCGACCGGAGGCCGACCCTGGAGGAGGCCATGCGGATGCCCTGGCTGGAATTAGCTCCAGAAGACCTGCCTCCCGACATGGAGCCGCCTGGGGAGGACCTGGACCCCCAGGTGGTCGAGACCATGCGTGGCATGGGCTTTAGGGAGGAGGCCATAAGGGACTCGGTGGCGAGCCAGAGATTCGATCGAGTAATGGGGACTTACCGCATCCTCCTCCTGACCATGGGCAGGATGGCCATGGGGAGGATGCCGGGCCGCACCGTGAAGGTCAGGCCCTACCGGCCCCCTGACACCGGGGCCGCCACCCCTTCCAGCCGCGAGGAGTCCCAGGCATCGGGGGGCTCGTCAGGACCATCAGTGGCGAGCCCTCCCTGCCCGTGGGCGAAGAAGACCCGCGCCCCGCTGTCCAGCCTGGAGACCATCGCCTCCGCCCCGCTTCCCCTGGAGTCTGGGCAGGCGCCCCAGCCAGAGGGCTCCCCAGGACCGTCCACGCTGAGGCCCCCGTGCCTGGGGGTGAAAAAGCCCTACGCCCTGCCCGCGCCGCCGCCCAGCCTGGAGACCATCGCCGCCTCCCCGCTTCCCCTGGAGTCTGGGCAGGCGCTCCCGCCGGGGACCCGCGGCCCAGCCCCGCAGCTCCGCCCGGGGGGCGCCCCCACCCCCCGCACCAGCAACCGCTTCCGCAGCAGTGAGAGCAAGGCTGGAAAGGTGGAGACCGAGGCTGTAAAGGTGGAGACCGAGGCTGGAAAGGTGGAGACCGAGGCTGTAAAGGCGGAGAAAAAGGCTGTAAAGGTGGAGAACGAGGCTGTAAAGGCGGAGAAAAAGGCTGTAAAGGTGGAGAACGAGGCTGTAAAGGCGGAGAAAAAGGCTGGAAAGGTGGAGAACGAGGCTGTAAAGGCGGAGAAAAAGGCTGGAAAGGTGGAGAAAGAGGCTGTAAAGGCGGAGAAAAAGACTGTAAAGGTGGAGAAAAGGGCTGTAAAGGTGGAGAAAGAGGCTGTAAAGGTGGAGACCGAGGCTGTAAAGGCGGAGAAAAAGGCTGGAAAGGTGGAGAACCAGGAGGGGGCCCCCCCAGACAGCTCCCCCCAAGAGGGCAGCCCCCCAGCCTCTCCCGCCGCCAGCACCCGGGCCCGGCCGGGCTTGGCGCAAAGGGCCTGGCAGACGTTCCTAAAGGTCTTCTGCTGTGGCGTTGACACCACCAAACCCCGCAGGAAGATAACCAGAGTACACCCTGGTAACACTTGAAAGGTGAGGAACTTAGTCGATGTTAATATTTAAGTTATTTGGAAAGTAGTTAACAAAGAACTTTACATTGTTTCTGATCTCTCGCGGAGCTGCAGAGCTGCAGGAGGCCGGGCGCGCGGAGCAGAGGAACAACAGGAGGCGAGGCGCTGGTTGGCAGGCAATTGTAAAGCAGATGGTGGAGGTCTCTTTGGCTCTGGCTCCCACAGGTAGGGTATCCAGCAGCGCCTTGGAAAACATCTTTTTTTAAAAATTTTATTTTAATTTTGTTTTATGTTTTGGTTTTCTGTTAGTTTTAGTTTTTTAAATTTAATTTAATTTTTATTTATTTGGGTTTTTTTTTTTTTTGGCATTAACCATGCCTCATGACTGGGGAAGACTGCGTGGCGCCCCCTGGAGGTCAAGATGAGTGACTGCCCTCGTAATGGGCCCATTTGTTTGGCAAGGTAAGATTTATGAAGGAAAGCAGTCTATACATCATCTTCAAGTTAGCTGATTACTAAATTAGTTATTTAAAATTAGTTTTAGAAATTAATTGATTATTAATAGATTATATATGTATGGAAATGCTTACTTTCCTAATTATAAATAAAATTAAGCTTAAATTTTTTACATATGAATTTCAACATCATATGCTAGCCTGGCCATTATAAGTGAAGAGTTTGAATAGTCTATAAATCAGCCACAAAACTAAACTAAAAAAAAAAGGGGGGGCATTTTAGCATGAACTTTGATAATGAAAATATTAAACTTAATTAGATCTAAAACCAGGAATAGTTTAGTTTTGAAAATCATCTTTCTTGAATGAGGCATTAACATGTTTTTTAATATCAAAACTCTACTGATTTCTCACTTTATGTTATTAATTCTTAAGTTGATGCAATACAAGTTTACTACGGTATTGTTACCAAGCAATAGAGTCTATTTCCTTTCAAAGGCTCAATTAAATTTTGCCCTTAGCTTACTGTATGTCAGATATCATTTGCAATTATGCATAGCCACTTCCTCTTGGAATTTAATTCTTAGTTTGAAAACTTAAAAACAATAAAAATTAGAAATATCTGTTACTAAAATTAACTTTCACATTTGTATTCTATATATTTGTTCCACACAAAAATCTTTGATTAATTTTAAGTAAAAGTTAAATCACATGATTTATACATAAAATTAAAATTTAATATTAAAACAGTGAGAGTCACGTCAATATTTTACAGTAAAACAATTAGAAAATAAGTTTCCTAATTTCTCACTCCACTAACTCATTCATTTAGAGGATTTTTTACAGACAATGAGTGATAATTTACTTTTTGTTTGTTTGTTTTTTAAAGAAACTGCTGTGATGAAGGCAAACAATTTATTGGCTTCTCTTTCATATTTCCGACCCCATAAGTCACTATTCAGGATTAAGTTTTTGTGGAATGAACAAAGACAATTTAACATTGACTATATGCAAGTAATAAGTATAGGTAGATCAGAAACAATATAAAGTTCTTTGTTAACTACTTTCCAAAATGACTTAAATATTAACATCTACCTAAGTTCCTCATCCATCTCCTGAGATGCAGCCTTCATGCTAATTGCAGAAGGAGGTAGTTTGTCCTGCTGGAGCACCCGTACATAACGCGGCCCACCTGCCTGGGGATTGGCTGTTGCCGTGGTTACAGTTTGTTTGGTTTCTCGGGGCGCTCTCTTCCACCTAGATGGAGGGATTTAGCTGCTGGTGGGTTACCCCCTGCTGGGGTCACTCACACCGGGCCCCCCAAAAGGCGACCTCCCCTGCGAGGTCGCCCCCCGCCAAGGCTGGGCCCCCAAGGAGGGGTCGTGGTGGGAAGGGGGCAGCGCCGCGGGAGCCGGAGCCTCTGGGTCCTGACCGGCTTCAGGGCGGGAGCGGAGGGGCCCCGCGCGAGGCTCCAGGCTCCAGGCTCCAGGCTCCTGTCACTTTGGGGCATTTTGGTGGCTCAAACTTGATCTGCTCTGACTAACCTTCCCTCAATGAAGGTGCTCTGCCTTCCGCACTCCCTTCTTCTCTATTCTTTCTCTTATTCTATTTTTTTCATACATAAATTTGGTTACTTTTTAAAAGTAGATTTCGCTCCCCTTTTATTATAGTTGAACTATGGTTGAAAGGTAGAGTTACTTAAGATTTACCACGTTTAGCGGCTTTAGCCAATTCTAAGTGATTCAATATAAACTTCAAACGTTTGCTGTCACCACGTCATAATTAGCCTTGGGCTGCACTCACCTGTCAGCTAAAGGAAGCGGTTGAGGGTTTGAAATGCAGCCAGTCCGCCTTGAAATGTGCTGTAGGTGTAAATGCACATCAGATGTTGACTACTTAGTTTGCAAACAAGAATGTAGCCTTTTTAGGTTGAACTTCATAACAGTTTTTAACTGATTACATGTTGAAATACTATTTTGGATAAAATAAGTTACATAAAATATATTATTGAAGTTAACTTCACCTGTTTCTCTTTATTTCTTAAAACGTTGCTACTAACTAGAAAATTTAAGATTACAAATGTGCTCGAATATGTAATTGGACAGGGCTGATCTAATGATCAGCAGATGAGCAGAGAGAGACATATAGTGGAAGTGACTCTTACCTTTCCCCTAGTCTCCTGTCTTCCTAAATAAAGTTTTGTATACCCGTGTATTCTGCTTTATATTAGGTTTAAAAAGAAAAGTTTCACCTAACCTTTGAATTGCACTTTAAGTTGGTTTGATTACAGAATCACATTTTGCACCAGTGGTGGTGTTTTGTTCTCCTTTAGGTGAGAAAGGTTGTGGATGAACTGAGTATTTTTAAACTAGCTTTTAAAATTATGAAAGTACTGCATATTTATTATTTTAAAAATCACTCAACATAAAGGTATGAAATGAAAATCAAAAGTTCCTCAATGCCTCCCAGCATGTTTCTGTCTAAAAATAAAGGGTGTGTGTGGTTACATAAGAGTGATATTACTCTGCCTATCTCTCTGATACCTGCCATTTTAAAATTATTTCTCTGTGGCTATATTTCCTGAGGAGGATAGTAAGTGTGCTTATTTTTATTGAAAAACTAGTATAGTATTCTATTCCCTGGCTGCATTATATTTATCTGTTTTCCAATTGAGTACATAGGATATCTATACACTTTAGTGGTGTAATTGTAGATTCACATGCAGCCTTAAAAAATAATACTTGTACATAAATGCAGCCTTGTATACACTGTCCAGTGTCTCTCAGTGATAATATTTTGTAAACTATATTATAATATCATGACCAGGATATTTATATTGATGCAATCTGCTTTCCTTATACTTATTTGTTTGTGTAATTTTTAATATCTGAATAGATTCACTTATCTACTACCACCATAAAGATACTGAACAGTTCCAACATTATAAGGATCTCTCATGTTGGCCTTTTATCATCATAACCATCATCGTCCAACACAATCAACTCCCAACTCTTATCAACCACTTATATGTTCTCAATTTATAAAATTGTGGCATGTAAAAATGTTACAGAAATGGAATCCTATGCTTTGGTTTCTCAGCAAAATTCCATCTTGAATCCACCAAAAAAGCTGATTTTGAGATGGATGAGTAAAATAAGGCAAAAAAAAAAAAAAAAAAAAAAAAAAAAAGAGGAAGGGAGGGAAGGGAAAAGAGGGAGAGAGGGAGGGAAGGAAGAAGGAAGGGAGGGAGGCAGGCAAATCCAAGAAGACAGAGTTCAGAGGTCGAAGGGCCAGGGGAAGGAATGAAAGTTTGGAATAGTCTCTAAAATAAAATAATAGCTGACTAGTACAGTTATTTTCAAAATTATTTTTACCAAGAGCCACAATAAAACAACAAAAAATAGGTTCCATTGTAATTCAAGCACACATACATACTTTAGAAACATGTTTGTTTTTTAAACAAATCTTTAGCATTTATAGTGTAATTATAGGGGTTTATTTTCCTGGCCTATTCTCATATTTTATATCCTATACTGTCATTTATACTTGATAATCAAGAAGCACTAAATTAACTTTTTGATCTGCTAATGGGCTATGATAAATAATTTGAAGATTATTAGAAAAGGAGATGTTCAGAAGGATTGCTGAGCAGATGAATAGCTTGAGCTTGGGGACCATTTGGTAATGAAGAACAGGATTTGAATTCAGGATGTTTGAATTATGATCCTGCCCCCATTACTTATTAATGTAATGGCTATGGACAGTTAAGTACCCTCTTCAAACCTGAGTGTTCTCATCTATACAATGACTCTCATGACCTTTAACCTTTGAAGTTACTCTGAAGATTATCCATTTTACAAATGTCTTCTAGTGCCTGCCTTGTCACAGCTACTTAATACTTGGAAGCTAATGATAGTGATGATGATGATGATGACATGAAGTTATACTGAAATATACTGATTAATGCATATATAAGTATTAAAGATTTAAATGGCCCATCTGGCATGGTACAGTGATTGAGCATTGACCTATGAACCAGGAGATCATGGTTTGATTCCAGGTCAGGGCACATGACTCAATCCCCAGTCGGGAGCATGCAGGAGGCAGCCAATTACTGATTTCCTTTCATCATTGATTTTTCTAACTCTTTCTTCCTCTCCCTTCCTCTCTGAAATCAAAAAAATATATTAAAAAAGATTTAAATGAAATAAATTTTTATTTTACATGCCATAATTATCCAATATTACATGTATTGTTGCAAAAACACGGCACTCTCTGCTAAAATGAACAACTCGTGAGTTAATGAATAGAAACTAACCTTATATTTTCCCCATATATAGACTTAGGTTGTTCTCTTGTATTTTAATCTCTGAATATTCAAGCTGATCATATGCATTTTTCCATTAATCATTTCTATTATGATGAGTTTTTCTGTGAAGTTTCTTGGTTCAGGAAGGCAAGCCAGCTTATTCCATGTAATTTTTCCCTTAGAGAATTAAAAGTCTAGGGAAATGGTTTGACTACCATTTTGTAGTCAAACATTTTTCTTAAATATATGGTACAG